TTATTACTCCGCCTGCGCATATGCGCAGTGCGAAGTCTAAAAATGCCTGAGTCTGTTGTCGGTTGTCGTCAGTGTCACAAACAGGCTCCTTGATAAATGTGTACATTCCATGATATTTAGATACTTTCTATTGACATTTGTGGATAATGTTATACGATTTGGCAGCGCAATGCGCATGCTTACAGCTCTGCTTACAGTATTTTTTCTAAACTGCGAACTGCGAAACGGTCTTGTGCGATGAAAAATACTAAACGATGAAAAATACTAAAAAAAGATGAATGTCAAGACAAAGCTTCCAGACTCAACTGAGGTAAGGGATACTAAACATTCTTATTTTGGTAGTACATGCTGCATTTTGACAACAAGAAATTCTTTAAAGTCATAAATATAAATAAAAATATTAACTCCTACTGTATGTCGTATTAAATGTCGATCTTATATTCTTGACTAGCAAAATATATTCTTGTGTGAAAGGTCCCTACAATGTTCTGAAGAGTTTAGGCTATGTAGTGTTGAGGCTATCGGGTTATTAAATATATTTCAATGTTTTGAAGAGTTTAGGAAATGTAGTATTGAAGCTGTCGTGTTTATAATTTACTATATACGTTTAGTACGCAACTACCGGAAACGGCAGCCATGTGGTAGTATTTATAAGACAAAGAATCTCATTATTTTTTACTGAATTTCGCACATTCTTTTAATTCTCAAGGGATTGGTTGCAAGACAAGAATATAATCTATGATATATAGTCATGTTAACAAATAACAGAAACGTCAGCTTCTTGAACTCACAGCCAGCTTGGGTTTGCTTGCTTTGCTCTTTCTACTGCCCCTGTGTGTTATGTATCAATCAATTCGAAACTTCACCACCCCCACCCCCCCGGGCCGACCCTGGGAATTTGAACTTTTTGAAATTTGACTGATCAAATTCTCCACCCCCTGTGCAAAAAATGTCTTCAAATGCCCCCACTGTAACAAGAAATTAAGCGTTCAAATGGCCCACCTTCATATGAAAATTATGAAACAGTAAATACAAAAAGTACAAAATATACGGAAATGTTTTTCGACAGGATAGCGAAATCCACGTAAAAAGTTTGGATACCTTCTGGAAATTTAACAGTTTTACACAATTATGTAGTACATACCTTCAAATGAAGCACGTAGATTTTCCATGCCCGTTTCTTTGAGCCAGTTTTTCACAAAATTGAGGCCGTTTCCCTCGAAATCTGAGAAAACTGCATTTGCCGCCAATGCGAAGTATTTTCTGTTCATGCAGGAAGCACGCGAAAACGGGCAAAATGTTAAGACTTCCGGTTCAAATTCTCCACCCCGTTATCAAATGCCCACCACATGGAAGACCTAGAACGTCAAATTACCTACTTCCTAGAGAAGACTTGAAGTCAAATTCCCGGGGTATGCCGGGGGGGGGGATGGTGCAGTTTCGAATTGATCGATACATTAATAGATACTATGTGTTGTGTAATGTATCTAATTCAACCCTACTAGGACTCTGGGCAGAATACCTACCAAGCCACTCAAACATGCTTTTTGGGCCTCTATTATTACAATGATGGGCCAAACAGAATTGGTGTGTCAGAATTAATATCCTATTTCTGTCTCTTATAGGTTATGGCACTTTCTTATGAAAATTCAATGTAAAGTTTGGACATTAGGACGTCAGTTTCAGGCTCCTTGCACGCCATCACAGCCAGTTTAGACGTCAGCTTCAGCCCCCTACGCATGTGTTAATTAAGACGTGTAGTGGCGTCAGCATTAGCCAAACGTCACCACTTCGGCTTATATTTGACTTCACTTTTCCATCGCACCCTACATTGTCCCCATTTTCTCCGCAGGCCTGCAGGCGGAGTGAACGCCTGAGTAGGCGTCTTGTTAAAAAAGGATCGACAGTTCAGTTTCTTATATTTTACACTCTCAATAATTCTCCACAACCGCATTGTAATTTTTGTGTATTACCAAAAGTACCTATGAATACTTATGAAAAGTGAAAAGTACACTGAAATTTTCGAAAGTTGCGCATGTGCACAACGCACTTCAGTGACGTCTTACACTATATAAACTTTAGTGATGAATTAAATGCACAAATTTTATCCTTTTCTGCATTTGGGAATGGTCTATGGAAATTAATTTACACTCTGAAATTTACACTCAGTTGTACGAACGCTGCATAGCGCTATCCAGCGGATAGTGATTTTTTCAAGCTTTCTTAAATTGGCCGTTGACCCATATTAACCCTTGTGTGATTTTCTCCTTCTGATGGATGTGAACGAGTATAGATGAGTTACGAATGTTCGGAGTAAATGTACCCTCATCTGAACATTTATAACTCATCACTCGTTCACATCCATCAGAAGGAGAAAATCGCAGCAAAAATTGCAAGTGTAAACGGACCTTTAGTATATTAAACTTCAAGTTGCTTTTTGCTTTAAATGTGGGATCCATATATTCGTATTTTTATCGCTTTTCAAGCATTTTGTGACGGTTGAAGAAATCACTATCCGGTGGATAACGCTATCCGCAGCCTTCGTACAACCGGCCCCAGTTCGAACCCCAGAACGTTTGCGTGAATTTACATGTGCGGTCGTCGTCAGCTCATTCGACTCTGGATTGTATTTCTTTAACGTAATTGGCTAAATCGCTGCGTCCAATGCGTTGAAATACATAGTTCAAAAGACAAAGGACACACTTTTGTCCACGAAGATGGCATCTTTGTAATGGCCTCACTAAGGCATCGACAATCTCGTGATCTGGAATGGCATGGAATTGTATGGAATTTAAAATTCCCTCGTCGCATTTATTGATTTCAGTGACGAAGGCCTGAATCTGTTGCCGATCCAACTCTCTAATAATATCACGAATCTGTGACCAAACTGGAGGGGAAGTCTGCATAACGTGCAAAAATAATACTTAAATAGACTACACACTAGGGTTGGGATATACTTATTTCGCCACTACACCATGGCTACAAAAGCAGACCTGCCAATGCAGTGTTGTAAATTAAATGAGGGAGATTACAATTTTTGTGATTTTTTTTTCAGAATGAGCTTTTAGGAGGGCTTCGGAAATAAGCGCCCTGGTTAACATGCACTTCAGTATACGCACAAGCAAATTAAGAGGACTGATATTTTCCTCGGATATTTTTGTATGTTAACGTAACATGCGCTCAAAACTAACGAGTATAATGCTACTTGGTCAGGGCCGTCGTGAGGGCGTGACACACCCTGAAAACATCTTCGTAGTCGGCAAAACATGAACTGGGTAGGTAAAATATTTGAGTGACACTGATTAAAAAATAATAGAGCAAAAATTTGGAGAAATGTACGAAAACGTTACGGAAAAATGTAACGCGGGTACATGAATGAAAAATATAATGTTCGGAAAAAAATTTTAATTAGAAATATTAATTAGTATATGCAAGGTAGTAATCATGAAACTTGTCGCACTGCATGGGAACAGGTTTGAAACAACGAAATTTTAAGTTGTAATATATAAATGAAAAACATACTAAATGAAGATAGCGTTTCATGTTGTTGCAACATGAAAATTAGTTAAATGATGATGAATTTCCTTGAGTTAATTATACAGTACCTCCATATTTTTTCCACAAATGTTACACCATGGTCCATATCCATGTCTTGGTTCTTCTCGTAGAGGATTTTCAAGGGGAGTTGATGGTTGTGGAAGAAGAGATCTGAGCGCTCTGTCGTCTAGTACGGGCAATGGTGATTCTCTCTGGTTTGCCTGCCGTCTACTCGTTTGTGGATCTCGTGATCGATGTGCAGATGGGTGAGACATATCTTGGTCACGAGACCGTGCTTCCACATCTCTATATCTTTCATCGTTTTGCGTTGCGCCTTCTGTGTCGGAGACCACGATATTGCCATTTTCTGTTCCGTGTACGCTCGTCTCTTGTCGTAGTGGGTTCCTGTTTTGCGTAATGCGGTAACACCATTCGGGCCATTCTTGTGAAGCATGACCACGGGCACGGTCATTATAAAACTGATTCAGAATATGATGAATGTTTCTCTCATGTCGTTCCAACAAGTGAAAGTTACCTTAAGTATAGAAAGTAAATTCATTTGCAAAATTTGACATCATGTATTGTTAACACACAAGGACGAAAACTTCGATTGATAGGGATTCAACTACTTGAAAAATACAAGGAGAACTTTGACGTTTCTACTGACTTCCCAATTAATACGAAGGGCATCAAAACGTCGAAGTTCTCCAATTTTATTTTTCAGGTAGTTGCATCCCCATCAATTGAAGTTTTGTTATTATTGGCGCAGACCGGTTCAAAAACAAAGCACGCAAATCGAGAAATCTAAGAAATCCATTTCTCGGATATTTTCCTGCATGTAACCTGTTAGGAGCAAATGCTTAGATCTAGAAATGTGTAAACCTTTAACCTTTGCGATAGCCAAATATTTGATAGGCATTATATTTCTTTCAAATATCCAATAATCTTCATGTCAGCTAAAGCATCAGCTTAGATAGTTTTTTTGGCTTCTGACTGACAATTATTTTACCTGCCATAGTTTGGTGTAAAATTTCTAGGATATCGTTTCTTCGTCTCTGAGTTAAAAGAGCTTGTACATCTTGTAGGGCGTTATTGTAATTGAGTTGGCCATGTTCGGTGACTTCATGCAGTTGTGGCAGCTCTTCGTTCACAAGGCAACTTATCACAAAGATAAGTCTTCGTACCAGTTCAGCAAGAGTAGGCATTCTATGATGAAGAAAAAGCAATACAACTAGTGAGCAAATTTCGGTTCTGGAAAGGTTGCGAGGTATATACGGGTATTTTGCTGTGCCCCAACGGTTGACCTCAGTCCGGTTTAATAGAATTGCCATCAAACTTGCACTGAACAATCTCATACGAAATAGCTCCATCTTGGCAGCCTTTCTCTGTAGTCTGCTCCTATGAGGACTGAGGAGTTTTTGGTATTAGATCTTTATATAACCTTAGTTATTACAGTTGTTAGCCCCCCTCCCCCCCCCCCCCCCC